TGCCAGTCCCCGCCCCTTCTTCGACCTGCCCCATTGTGCCCCATTTCCTGGGGGAAGCATATGGGGGAGGGGGTTAAGTAAGGAACCCACAGATTGAGGGATTCCCGGCGGGGGGGCATGGGGGAGGAGGGGCAGGCAGTGCTGCAGGGGTGGGGGGCAGGCCGCCCAGAGGGGGACAGGGTGAGGGGCAGCAGGGGGGAAGGGCACAGGATCTCTGGGGTGGGGGAGAGAAGAGGGGGCAGGGAGTGGAGCGGGAGAAGGGGGGCAGAGGGGGAAGGGCCGGGTGGGGAGTCATCACAGGGTCTGGCCTATGCCCCAGCTTGCAACCAGCCTCTTGGGCGCGACCCCTGACTGGGCCAGGCCCCAGGGACCCCCAGGGCTGGGCAGAGGCCCGTGGCCTCCAGGACTGGGCCGCCGGCAACAGCCCCCCCTCTTCCCCTGAGGGTCCCTGCCGGAGTCCGGCCCAGCCAGACCCTGCAGGCGCGAGGCCCCTGGGGCAGTGGCAGTGACCCCAGCCCCTGTGCAGAGCCCAGGGCCCCACTCAGCCCCCAGCTGCAGGCCCGGGGCCTGGGGACAGCCCAGAGAGGCAGCCGTTAGCCATGGCCCAGCCAGGCCGGCGCTGTGATGAGCCAACCCAGCCGTGATCACGTCCATGGCTGGCTCCCTGGCCCCTCACGCGGCCCCTCTCTCGGGGGCGTCCTGCTGCCGGGGGGGCCAGTCCTCAGGGTGGCACTCTGTCTGCCTGGACCAGGCCATTCCCCACAGACTCCCGCCGCCTGTGCGGCTCTAGCAGGGGACTGAGCCCTTTTTCCAGTCCAGAGGGAAACTGAGGCACAGGTAGAGTGACCAGATGTCCCGATTTTATAGGGACAGTCCCGATTTTTGGGTCTTTTTCTTATATAGGCTCCTATTACCCCCCCACCCCCATCCCGATTTTTCACACTTGCTGTCTGGTCACCCTGGGCACAGGCAGGATTCATAAAACTATTACACCAAATTCTCACTTTTTCAGGGGGGGAAGCCAGGGGGAGGCCTGGCTCCTTGCCCCCTGTGGCCCAGACGGTGCATTCATATGCCTGATATTGCCCCCCAGTGCTGAGGGGAGAGGCCAGGGAGCTTGGGGGGCACAGGGGCAATTCAGGGATGGGAGGGGACAGGACTCCGTTGCTCTGTGGGTTTCTTACCCAACATCCTCTCCCTGCTCAGGCCTCTTAGGCAACCGCCCCCGCCCCCACCAGACCCCGTCCCACCCAGCCTGGGTGCCTCACTCAGCACCAGCAACATTCGCACAACACAGACAGGACCATGGGGGGGCTCTCCGGCACCAATCCCTGCCCCCCATGGGGCACTGCCTGGATGGGCCGAATCCTGGCAGGTGAGGGCAGGAGGGAGCCCAGGCTTGGGCTGGCAGGGGGCTGCAGGTGGGGAGTGAGGGGCACCGGCAGAGCTGGGGGGGG